CGTTCTGGTTATCGATAAAACACAGTCACAAAAAAAAGTCCCAACCCAAGAGACCACATATCATTTCTCAAGGAATTCGATGCGCTGAACACGATCCTCTAGTAAAAATTCATGACTTTACGGAGAAAAATTAAATTTTTGGGTGAAAATGCCCAAATATGGGTCAAAACTAATTTTTTCTTAAATTTTGTCTAAATATATCATTTTCATAGTATTCTGAGGCGCTGAACACGGTGCCATTATAGACCGTGAGCTAGCGCACATGGGTGTGGCGTCATCGAAAAATGTCTGGCATTTTGAGGTCTGAAAAAGGTAAGTTAGTTAATGAAAATAAGGGTGATTTTAAGGACCGACCCGTGTTCGAAAATTTGGAAAATTAATTTCCTTTTACATAAAATAATTAGTTTTTCACACATCTTAATGTGTCTTGTAGTTGATGCAAAAATAGACATTAATAAGTAACTAACAATTTTCAAATGCCTGACTGTTTTAAATAGAAGAAAGCGTGGTTCATAGAGGTGAACTTGAAAGAAGAAAAACAAATTTCATCGTTTACTTTTTGTCTGGCAATCGAAACAATGAAAATTTTTGTTATAAAAATGATAGAAATAAATTGCCAGACGATTTCCAATGTTCGGAGTCGAGTTTCTCTGTGGAAAATTATGTGACAATTTTTAACATTTTTCAGTAATCACCATTTGTGTGGTATCTCGGGTACTTAAAATTAATACCCATATTTCTAGACACAAAAAATTTGCCAGACAAATTGGGAAATGAAAAAATTGAGCCAGACAAAAGAAAATTCGTAAAAAATATATTATAAGTTTAAATGATTTATTTTTGTACATAACATTTGGACATTTTTGAATTTCAATTAGAAATACGCGTAGAAACAAAATATGCAAAGGCCAGACAAGTTGAGATGTTCGAAAATGGATAAATAAATTGAAAAGTTACGAAAAAATTAAGGAAAACTTGGTTTTCTTTTTATTTTCTAATTTAAACGATTTATTTTTTTTTGTCTGGCATTTTGCATTACTATTGAAAATACATATTTATACTTCAGGTTAAAACGCCAGACAAGTTGGGTTGTTCAAAAATTTAAAAAGAAATAGTTGTAAAAAATTTAATGAAAACTTCAACTTTTTTTTGTCTGGCAATTCGTTTTTTAATAAAAAATACACTTACAAACTCAAATTAAAAATGCCAGACAAGTTGGGATGTTCGAAAATACATATATAAATAAATAAACAAAGTTGTAAAAAAATATAATTTCTCATTTTTTTCGATTTTTTCCCTTTATATTATAAGCTGTCAGTACTCGGGAAACATACTCAAGAAACTATTTCCGACGTAAAATTTCCTACTGAATCTGTTGCTGTCAACGAAAGTGACTTACCTAGCCAAGAAAAGCTGGAAAACAGGAGAAACCTTCGTAAATTTAAAAAAATTCAAATTTTAAATCATATTCGAATTAAATTGCTTATTCAAAATTTTGTACCCCATAAGGGCACAAGTGGCTTATATTATATTATATTTTACAACTTTGTTTATTTTATTTATATATTTTCCAACAGCCCAACTTGTCTGACATTTTTAATTTGAGTTTGTAAATGTATTTTTTATTAAAGCACGAATTACCAGACAAAAAAAAGATTGAAGTTTTCATTATTTTTACAACTATTTAATTTAATTTAATTTAATTTTGAATTTTCGAACAACTCAACTTGTCTGGCGTTTTAACCTGAAGTATAAATATGTATTTTCAATACAAAAGCAAAATACCAGACAAAAATAAATCGTTTAAATTAGAAAAAAAAGAAAACCCAGTTTTCGTTAATTTTTTTGTAACTTTTTAATTTATTTATACATTTTCGAACAGCTCAACTTGTCTGGCATTTGTATGTTGTGTTTAAACGCGAATTTCTAATTGAAGTGCAAAATGCCAGACAAAAATAAATTATTGAAATTTTTATAAATATCTTCACACCTTTTTTATTTATTTATAAATTTTCGAACCGGCCAATTTGTCTTGCATTGAAAAATGAATAACATTTTATAATACAGCAAACACAATGGCCCTCTTTTTTTGTACATTAAGATCACTGAAAATGTTAAAAATTTTCACATAATTTTCCGCAGAGATACTCGACTCGGAACATTGGAATCCGTCTAGCAATTTATTTTTATCATTTTCATAACAGAAATTTTCATTGTTTCGATTGCCAGACAAAAAGTAAACGATAACTGGCATTTGAAAATTGTTAGGTACTTATTAATGTCTATTTTTGCATCAACTTTCCAGACACTTTAAGATGAGTGAAAAACTAATTATTTTATGTAAAAGGAAATTAATTTTTCAAATTTTCGGATACGGGTCGGCCCTACCCTTATTTTCATTAACTAACTTACCTTTTTCAGACCTCAAAATGCCAGACATTTTTCGATGACGCCACACCCATGTGCGCCAGCTCACGGTCTATTAGTAAAATTTACCCATGAACTCGATATTTCTCAGAAAATTCATTATTTAGATGAAAACTGGTCCAAGTAAGGGTTAAAACTGATTTTTTCCTAAATTTTATCCAAATATATTCGTAGTATTTTGAGGTGCTAAACACGATGACATTCTTCTTCTTCATCTAGTGGTTGGTCCTTGAAAAGTCCCATAGCACTGCGGCCTAATTAGGTCTATTGTGCGTCCCACTACTAGTCCTATTCAGCAAGTAGATTTGTCCTTTTTACAAAGTCCAAAAGCTTCCTTGCTGACACTTCTCTCAGCTCCTTGGGTTCCAAATAGGGTCTCCCAAGGAGCGCCATTCTGCTACGTGCAAATCCCGGGCACTCGCCCAGGATATGCAGAGAAGTTTCATCCGCCGATTCACATCCTCGGCAGACCGGACTGTCTACAAGCTTTAGTCTATGTAGATGTTTCCTAAAGTGACAGTGTCCCGTTATGAGTCCTGTCACTCTCCTGAGCCGGATTCTATTCAAGCTCAGTAACTCATTCGCTCTTCCATTCGAAGGATACTCCATAAGCTCCTTGGAATGGCTATGTCCTGGCCTTGAAGTCCAGTATTTCCTATGTTCTGTCTCTGTCCATTTGCCCAGAGCCCGCCTGACCACACTGGGAGATGTGCCACAGAAGGGCTCCGGGCCAATGAACACTGTCTCGGATCCCTTCCTCGCAAGTTCATCCGCTTTCTCATTTCCACAAATGCCTTTGTGCCCTGGCACCCAACACAGTCTGACTGTATTGTTGGTGGCCAGTTCAGTCAGCATTTGTAAACAGTCCCACACCAGTTTTGAACTTACCTTGTGTGCGGCTAAAGCTTTAATTGCAGCTTGACTATCAGAGAATATATATATGAGTTTACGTCTATAACCTCTACGTACATTCTCTGCCAGACACGCCATTATTGCGAAGATTTCTGCTTGGAATACAGTAGGGAACTCCCCCAGACTGTAGCTTGCACTCCATCTGGGTCTGAGTCCATATATTCCTGCACCCGTCCCTCTGGTCATTTTGGAGCCATCTGTAAACCATACTAGGCTCCACCTTTCCAGGGTATTAAACCTTTCCTCCCACTCGCTTTGATCCTCTATTCGAGTCTCAAATGGCTTGTGGAAGTGAAACTTTGGAACCATCTTGTCGGATACCATCCCAAGAATTGGTTCCGACATAGATGTATCTTTGATCCTGGAGTGGGAACCACCCCTCCAGTCATTATTATTCCTGAGTCGATATGCTGCTAGCCGCGCTTCTCTCTCCACCACTATATGCAGCGGTGGCAGATTTAGCATGACTTCTAGTGCAGCTGTCGGGGTCGATGCCATCGCCCCCGTTATACCTAAACAGGCCAATCTCTGAATTCTATTCAGTTTTTCCTTCGCTGTGGTCTGTTGTGTTTTCTGCCACCATACCACAGCGCCGTAAAGAATCCTGGGTCTTACTATCGACGTATACAACCAGTGTGACATCTTTGGTTTCAGTCCCCAGGTTTTCCCAATAAGGCGGCGGCATACACACAATGTCTGCTTCGCCTTACTCACCACTTTTTCCAAGTGCGCATTCCAGGTAAGCTTATTATCCAGTATCACTCCTAGATATTTTACTTCCCTGGAAAATGTAATGCCCCTCTCCCCTATTATAGGTTCAGAGAGTCCAGTTAAATTTCTTCTCCTAGTGAAGGGTACTACGACCGTTTTGTCAGGGTTTACTGACAGTGCCTGCCCCTTACACCAGTCATCTATCCATTTCAAAGCCTCTTTCATGAGTTCTGAAACGATAATATTATGTTTCCCGACTATGAGAACGACCAAGTCATCCGCATAGCCTTGTGTATAAAACCCCTTTCGATTAAGGCCCTCCAGTGCGCCGTCCACCACTAATCCCCATAACAAGGGAGACAGTACGCCTCCCTGGGGGCAGCCCCGGCCTACCTTACACCTGGATGTCTCTCCCGAAAGGGTAGCTGTTACTGTCCGGTTTCTCAACATGGTATCTATCCAACGACACAAAGTGTCTTCAAGGCCCCTGTTGCGAACTGCCGAATTAATAGATTCGAAAGGTGTATTGTCAAATGCCCCTTCAATATCTAAAAAAGCTGCCAAAGCTAGATCTTTGTCGTCCATTGCCCTCTCTATCCTAGAGACTAGGCTATGAAGGGCTGTGTCGACTGATCTGCCTGCCTGATAGGCGTATTGGTACCTGTGCAGAGGATTTGCCCTCAATACCCCGTCCCTTATATGCCTGTCAACTATTCTCTCCAACGTTTTCAGGAGGAAAGATGTTAAACTTATCGGGCGATATGCCTTTGCCTCGGCATACGATGGACGCCCTGGTTTAGGAATAAACGCCACGTTCGTCGATCTCCATGCCAGCGGTATATAACTAAGTGCAATGCTGGCTCTAAAGACGTGAATTAAAACCGGAGCTAGACAGTCCACTCCCTGCTGTAACAGTACAGGTAGGATTCCATCCGTTCCTGGTGATTTAAATGGGTCAAAAGAACTTATTCGTGACAGACTCACCACCATCTTGGCAACCTCCCAGTTCTGTCGAGACCCGGTCGTTACCCTCTGCTGGTGATCCCAGTCATATTCATCTCCATGATTTAATAACCTGGAGCCTGGAAAGTGAGTACTATGACGATGACATTAGTAAAGTTTACCCATTTTGGCCAATTTTCGCCAAATGGATTTTCTGAGATATATTCACAAATGATCTCATGCTATCGTATTCAATCGTGATATATTTGAACAAAAATTAGAAAAAAATAGTTTTGATCCATATTTGGGCCAGTGTTCACCCAAATAGTGATTTTCTGAGAAATATCGAGTTCATGTAAATTTTACCTATGGCATTGTGTTCAGCACTTCAAAACACAACGAAAATGATATATTTGGACACAATCTAGGAAAAAATCAGTTTTGACCATATTTTGACGTTTTTACACAAAAACTTCATTTTTGTCATGAAGACATGAATTTTGACTACAGTCAATACGGGTTAAGCGCACTGAATGCCTTCGGAAATGATATGGGGCTCTCTTGGGTTTGGACTTTTTTTGTGTGGCTCTGTAATCTTACCTCAATTTATTTCAGGGCTTCCAAAAGATGCGACTGAATTTTTAGCTGCAGAACTAAATAGTCGAAGATTGGTAGTACATTTTACAGGAATCGAGAAAAGCAGTTTCGAAAGTTTTTCCATAAAGAAGACGATGGTTCTGAACATATGATTATGGTTGAAACCTAACGATTACAAACAGAGGACTGGAGACTCTTCATAGATTCTTCGAAACAGAGCTTGAAGACGCTGCACAATCAACTACATTAAAATAATGTTGTGAAAACATGACATGCGTTTAAATATGCAGAACATAATTGTTTTGGTGATTTAAAGATCATACAATCAGCATTTGCCAAGTGTCCCTGCTTCTTGTGTCTATTGGCGAGTAAAAACCGAAACAATAAATACAAAAAGAAACAATTACCGACACGAGAACTCAACCCAGAGAGTCACAGTGTGAAAATACTGATTTCACTGCTTTCTCCAGCCGATATAAAGTTAGTCAATTTTCGAATTTAAGTGATTCAAAATTGACACAAGAATGGACCTCAAATCAGAAAAATGTTTCATGAAGAACATTTAATAACAACAATTGAGAGACCACCGAGTTTTCCCAACGTCGCTCAATACTTTTTAGGGACCCAGAAATGCTACTACTACGATACTATTGTAGTAGAAACTTAGGTGATTATATCGAGAAACAAGACAAACCTTTCAGTAAGATCTGAAATAAATTGAAGTAAGATACCAGTGCATATGAAACTGAAGACAGTAGTTCTAGAAATGATCAAACTGGGGCTTCAAATATTTTCGACTTTTTTTAGATATTTATATAGGAGCCAGGAGGCTTAACCAGTCTCAGATTCGTGTGACAGCCTAGTGTGAGCCCCAGATTAGCCCAATTTTTTGTGTGTTTATCAACTGATGGCATTATATTTAATACTGAATTAAATGTTTTTAAGATTTGCAAATGTTCTATTTTTTAAATTGTAGCATTTATAGTTTTAACACAAAACTATCAACAATTATAGCAATTATAATTTAAGTACTGAGTCTTGGAAAGTATCATATTTATGAATTATGAGTTCCTCTTTATATTATTTAAATTAAAAGCAAACCAATTCCTATTATTGTTTAATATCTTACGTATTTGTGTTAACATTGGGTAATTAAGTAGATCTTAATTTTACAAAGGATTTACTATAATCTCCTAGATAAAGATTTTTATATTCTTAGTACAAACGTATATATTTAAATTAATTAATTCTGGTGATAAATGAGCACGTGTGTTTTAGGTGTATCAAGAAATATGTTTGAAAATATTTTTATGTTGCCAAAAGAAATAATTTTTCGTGTAGTACTAAAAGGTAAATACTTCACGCTCTTTTGAAAATAACCGTGATCCCGAAGAAATATTTAAAGAAGAATATTTTTATTGGTAGATAAGAACTAATTATGAAGAAAACTATAATGTGCCTTTGTACAGTGCTAATACTAACAGTCAATATTACCATAGTGACAATATTGTTCAAATACAATTCCTGGATTAAACACCAAGAAGGTATTTACTTATTTTTATAAATAAAACAAAATTTCATTTCATTTTGTTAATGCGCTAGCAATTTTCAGTTCACAAAATAACTGCACTTATATGTACTTCTTTCTGCCTCATTTTCCATAATAAATCTATTCTAATTGTTGTTAAATAACTATAGCCTTTTGTTTTTTTAATTTAATTTTCTTGTTGCAGTACTCGCATCAAGTGGTTGCGTTATAGACACTCTCTATACTGATGCAAGTGACTGTACTAAATTTTACATGTGTTCTCCTTTTGGCCTACAATCCTTCAACTGTCCCACAGGCTTGCATTTTAATCCTTTTACAAATTATTGCGACTGGCCTAATGTAGCAGGATGCACAGCGGTTACTATTGAAGAGACTTTACCAACATCAACAGACAAAAATTTGTTTAGTGACGCAGATGAACCACGTGAAACTGAAAATGAACATGTTAATTCAATATTGTCAGCAAATGAGAAATTGATAGTTAACGATACAGAGGATCAGTTATTAGAAGAAACAACAGAAAAATCCAAAATTACTTATGATATTATCTTTGAATATGCTACAACACTTGATGGAGATTTTAATAAAGAAGATAACAAAACTCATTATTTGAATTCACATAATACAGAAGAAATTGTAACAGATACTCATTTAACAAATGAAATGTTTACAGATAATTCCATAATCAAGACCACAGAACAAAACACTGATGATTTTTCTAGAAGTTTTATTAGTAATTCCAAAGAGTATTCTACTACTTCAGCAAAACATAACTTAAGAACTAGTAAGATTCCTGGAACAGGTCTAAATTTGAAAGATATTAATTCTGAGCTATATTCCACATCTGATATTTTTAAGTCATCAAGTGAAGTTACTACTGGGAATAATTATTTTTCCCGTGAGAAGGTAACCAACCAGTATTTAAAAACTACAACGAATTCTGAAATAGTGCCTGAAATAAATGAAAACTGTCTTACAATTTTTACAAATTTGCAAGAAGTAGGATATAGTAGGGAATCTTCAGTTGCAGCAGATATCTCTTCTCACACGGATGCATCTTTAACAAATACAGTAGTTTCTGAAGAAGAAATACACCTAAATACTTCTTCTATACTATTAAGTAGTAATAATGCGCACTCCCAGAATTTCAAGGAAACAACATTAAGCGTTCTGGAAAGTTCTTCTAATTCAATAGATGAAGGAAATGACAGTATTATGTTCTCTGTACAGACATCTGTTACATCGCAGAATGTACCTGTTACCGATAAATTCACAGACGCAATGAATATAAATAAATTTAACTCTGAAAGTCCACCAAATGGATTTGTTTCTTCATTATATTCAACCATTTCAGATGAACCTACAATTATCCACAAAGAAACTGAAATTTCTTCTCCTAATACAAAAGAATATGTTACAGTAAGAAACGAAAACTATGATGACATTACTAATTCAAATGCACATTTCTTTACCAAAGAAGATCTTTCGATATTAGTAGACGAGTCACCAACAGTAAATGGTCTAGATAATCCTACAACCTTATCAGGAATCTTTAATTCACTGAAAAATAATTCTACCATTCCTGATTTGTCTCAAGTCATTACCACTGGTGAATACTCTTTACCAACGCAAACTATAACAATAACAGAAAAACTTAAAGAAGTTTCTTCTAATACGGAGCAATATATTACAACAATTACCGAAAATTATGCTGTAAATCAATACGATAATACATACAAAGATTTAATAAATGACAAATCTACAATGTCAGTTGAAGTAGATGCAGAAGCTTTAACAGCAATATCAGAATCTACTGCATTATCTAATGGCACACCTTCTACGCCTCATGAGGCTATAAAAACAACGGAAAATATTTATGAAGGTCAATATGACTTAGCTTCTTCTAATCCGCAAGATTTGATTAAAAATATGTCACATACACGAATTGATTCCACAACTTTAACAACAGACATCTCCCATTCAACTTCCAATTTGAATATAAAAGTAAATGAAAAGGATTCCTTTACATTGCAAACAAACAGTTCTGATAATTTTGATTTACCTAAAACAACTGTAACTAATTTAGAAGATCCTAAAATTACGTTTTTAAATGAAAAAAGTTCCACTTCTTCCACTACGCAACCACATTTGATCAATACCAAAGAACAAGAATATGATATTATGACTCCTAAATTAACATCCTCAGTCACTAAAGATGACTTAATGCCAAATCAGTTCACCGAATATGATTCTTCCATTTTATATCCAAATGTTCCTGATGTGTCTACTACAGAAACTATTTTTGTACAACTACTTACACAACAAAGCGATACAATTGCTAGTGGACAGTTTACGACAACCCAAACTAATCATCAAAGTTCAGAAGTTTTACATACAAACATGGAAGAATCCTCAGTGTCGACAGCTATTCCGATAATTCAACACATTTTGTCGACAGTTCAAGAAACTGTACAAAAAACTGATAGCGAGAGAAGTACAGATGTTCCTAATTATCAAGGTTCTTCCAAAATGCATGAAATACTGACTGAAAAAACGTTAAATAAAGAAAATATTTACGTTATATGGGAGGAAATTAATACCATATCAGGAGGAGAAATCTTTGTCACCACTGAAAAATCTTCAATATTAAAGAATGAAACTACAAAACCTATTGAAGATATAAAAACTGAAACAAAAAACGATGAAACTTTATTAGAAGAAATAGTTAATACATATCATACTAAGATGATTACTGAAACTACCGAAACAGTAAGCAGGCAATCTACTGATTCTGCATTAGAATCATATTTTAAGGATGATTCAGTTTCTATTCAAGACACAACTGGTTCTTATATTTCTGAATTAGAAATCTTAAAAAATCAATTAAACAAGTACACCGTAGCGGACATAATATATGATAAAAATAATGACACTTTTGCTACAGAATCAACAACAACAAATACAAATCATCAAACAGAACCCACAGCAACCTTAAATACTGATGTATTAAGAGATACAATCAACGATGTGTTATCCAGTGTTACAGCCCTCGAAGAAAGATCCACACAAACACCGAATAATGTTACAACTTCCAGTAACAATGAATCAAACATTCAAATACAGGAGATGAAAATGTCTTCCATAACGGATGGAGCTTTACTGTCAAGTGAAGTTTTAACCTCCAATGAAAGTGCTGAAGAGACATCAAATACTGAAAGTAGTTATCCGAAAACTTTATTTACAGAAAAACTTTATAGTTCAGACTTAGACCAAGTAGATTCCTTTGATTTATATGCAACGACTGAAAAGGAAATTGGTACTGCTGCTGAAAGTATTTTTACAAATAATATCTCAGAAACAAATATATCAAGTAGCGACCGAACAGATTTCTCTACAAACATAAACGAATTACAAACCGATAGCACCGAGTTTTCTACTATACAAAATGTAGAATTTCCTTTGGAAGAAATAACAGACACAAAAGATATTAGCTCACTCAATCTTCACATCCAAATGGCACCTACTACTCAACATGATAAAATTAAGGATTTTAGTGAAACTGACGATGGCAAAAAATATGGTAATAATGATAAATATGATTATGGTGGTGAATATGACAATGAGGAAGAGAGTTTATACAATAACAAGAAACATCAGGATGATAAAGATAATGATGATGGTCATGATGAACATCATGATGATGATAATGATGATGACGATGATGATGGTGATTCTGATGATGATGATGATAATGATGATGCTGATGATGATGGTGATGCTGGAAGTGCCTAAATACGTAAGGTGACACGAACATTTCTAGTGGAATAAATATTTTTTGTGTGTATGGCTCTGTTATTATCATAATAAATAGATATACCCATAATTACGAGTAATTTCAAAAATTATATTTTCTTTAACATAGCTAAAGCTTTTTATTTTAATGTACAACATCTATACTTATAATTATTCTAATCGTTGTAACGTATTCGTATAATCCACATAGTGCAGATAGCAGTAAATATTATAATATTACGTATAATACAATACTTAATCATCAAAATCTTAAGATTATAGAAGGGATTTCTTCCTATTTATTTAAACTGAAAACAGTATAAATCATATTAATCTCCTAAGTAAAATCTGCATTGTTAGTAGGTATTCAGTTTTAATTGTTCTCGAAGCTACTTATACGTGGATAAGTTGCATTTAGTAATAGGAAGATAGATCTAAATAAAACCTCCGTAGTAACTGTTTTACACTGACACTCATGAATTATTTGCTAGATCCGCTTGTTTCATGAAGAAATTAGATACTTTATGTAATGCATCTTTATTTTCAAGGAAATTTATAAATTTCCTCATACAGCTATTCCTAAATTAGAACATAGTTTTTGTTAATTTTTACATGAAGTTCAGAGATACTGACAAATTAAGCTTAAGTTATTTGTTCACATGTATATTTATTTTGTAACCTGTAAGGCGGTGGTTACACTAGATTCGATTTCGTGCGAAAATCTGTACGAAATGTCGGATTACAATAGTATATGCGTGTATTTTTTATATATATATTTTATTTTATTTAAACTTTAACAATGAGGTCAAGTGACTGCTTTATTCTTACGAATAATTTGTTACGAATTTGTTATGATTTCGTGCGAATAGTTTTTCATACGAATTCGCATCCAATGTAACTGCCACCTAATATGATAAAAGGTTAAAATAATCCCTTTCCCTGTTATTTATCTAATGAAAAACAATTATAAGTTCATGAATTAATTGTTGAATAAATTGTCGATGTAAAATTAAACATAATAATCTTTCTTAGCAATATTCAAATTCAAATATACTTTTTTTGTACACTTTGGTATAAACTTTCTTTTAAATATTGCTGTTTGGTAATATTGATCTAATTATAATTTTGTTGTAAATCATTTTAGCAATAACAAAATGGAAAAAATTGATTGTCGCAAAACTTAGCAAATTGAATTTCTGTCTATATCACCATTAAATTTCTAAAATGATTTTAGGACAAAATTGTAATTAGAAAAACATTAAACAGTTTCATAGTAATTTCTGAAGAAAAGAGCGATATGTCTCTCGAAACGTCAAGAGTTGTAAATCGACGACGTGGCAACCGACCCGGAAATCATTGAACCATTAACGACAGCTATGGAAGCCTACAAACAAAACATTCAACAGGCAAACAGAAGTATTTCAAAATCAGTCAGACTACCTTTTTGGTTCTGAAGGAATCCAATTTTCTAATATGAAAATAATATGCAGCAGGGTAAACATTCAAAAATGAATAAGTAGAAATGGATTATGAACAAATTTATTTATTAAATAAGTCTTCTCTAACAATTTATTGTGAAAAAAATAAATCAAATATTTTTCATGAAGAAGCCTAATTAGTCCAACCAAATTACACTTAGAGAAAAAAAAATTATTACCTGGTCTTTTATAAGTGGAAATGGTAAACCTAAAAAAAATAAATGCGTGAGCACGGGCGGCGGAGGGTTGATTTGGGGGGTTGAAAAGGGGTGAAAAATGGTATCATTGAGATTTCTGGCGAAAGTTGATGTCAAACAAAAAAGTATCCAATACAAAAGTTATAGATCATGAAAAAATCTACAACTCTTGTAGAGGGCACTTTTGAAGATAACCTCAAAATTTCCGAGAAAAATGCGAAAAACAGGTTTTTTCCTTTTTTTCGTTTTTTATTTCTCATTTCCGCAAAAATAATTTAGTTTTAACGAAACTTGGTGAAAGTATACTTTGCTGTGTCTTAAATAACCACAATTTTTTTTAGATAAAAAAATCAAGAAGTTTCCGAGATATTCATATTTTCTGGTCTGAAACACTTTTTTTTTTCAAAGAAAAATTCTACTTAGAAAAATCATCGTATATAGTTCTGCCGGTAATCATTTTTTCGTTTTGACATATACTTTTTGGTGAAATAAAAAAAATTGGAATCGCAGTTCAAAAACATGCTCAAAAATGCAAAAAAAGAAAAATGAGTTGCAGCAATGAATTTTTCAGCAATTATTATTGATAGTTTGTTTAAATTTAAAGAAAATTCAAAAACTGATTACACCATTCGATTGTACGGAAAAAATACAAAAGAAACTGTGTCTCATTGTTTGACCTGAAATTTTATTTTTGTACAGTATTGCTATAAACATAATATTTTTTTTTCCGTAGGATCGATTAATGTACTTATTTTTTTAACTTTGAATTGAATTCATAGATGTATAAGCGACTCTTTAATTCAATTATGTAAAATTCAGATTTTTGCTTCCAAAATTTTAAAAATATTTACAAAGGATATTTACAATTAATAATACTAGGCGAATCTTGGTCTTTTTGGCAACTTTTTAACTTGATCTTCATCGTCCGATCCTTCATTAGACTGGGTTTCTTCCTGATCTTCAAACGTTTCTTCGATATCACTTAATTCTTCGGTTAATTGATCTTCCGGGTTCAAGCAAAGACTGGGCTGCTCGATTTCATGTGAAATGTCTTCGGAATCACTGAAATTTTCCGAAATTTTGTCAACGTTCAAACAATTGTCCGAACCTTGACATTTTGTACATAAATCTGTACATCGCAATCCATGTTTTCGACACCCGCATCTGCGGGTTTTTATAATTTTGGTATAAAAAATGTAAACATTTTCGTGTTAACGTAGATGTACTTCTTTTAAGCAAAATACACACATTATTATAATATTGGTTTTTTATTTTAGAGAAAACTGAGCCTTCAACATTGTTCTTGCACAGACAACGTAGTTTACGCTAAATGTAGCACGCTATGAAAACAAATGTGTTATCCTAGTAATGACATTTAAAAAATTGTTTATTAGTCCAACCAAATTACACTTGGAGAAAAAAAATTGTTACCTGGACTTTTATAAGTGGAAATGGTAAAAGGGCTTATAATAAACCTAAAAAAAATAAATGCGTGAGCAGGGGCGGCGGAGGGTTGATTTGGGAGGTTGAAAAGTTATGAAAAATTGTATTATTGGGATTTTTGGCGAAAGATGACGTCAAACAAAAAAGTATCTAATACAAAAGTTGTAGATCATGCAAAAATCTACAGCATTTTATCAACAATTACTGAAAAATTCATTGTTGCAAGTCATTTTTTATTTTTATGCATTTTTGAGCATGTTTTTGATATGTTATTACAGATTTTTTTATTTCACCAAAAAGTATATGTCAAAACGAAAAAAATGATTACCGGCAGAACTCTGTACGATGATTTTTTTAAGTAGAATTTTTCTTTGTATTTCAGGCCAAAAAAATGAATATCTCAGAAACTTCTTGATTTTTTTATATAAAAAAATTGAGGTTATTTAAGACTGAGAAAGGTATACTTTCACCAAGTTTCGTCAAAATTAAATTATTTTTGCGGAAATGAGAAATAAAAAACAAAAAATCAGAAAAAACCTGTTTTCCGAATTTTTCTTGGAAATTTTGAGGTTATGTTAAAAAATGACTTCTGAGTTGTAGATCATGCAAAAATCTACAACTTTTGTATTAGATACTTTTTTGTTTGACGTCAACTTTCGCCAGAAATCCCAATGATACAATTTTTCATAACTTTTCAACCCCCCAAATCAACCCTCCGCCACCCCTGCTCACGCATTTATTTATTTTTTTCGTTTATTATAAACCCCTTTACCATCTCCACTTATAAATGTCCAGGTAACAATTTTCTTTTTTTTTTTTCTCCCTCTAAATGAGTTAGTTTGATCGGTCTATATTGTTATAGTTTATACATAACTGTTGGTTTGGAAATTGTTAGGGTTAACTGTGATTTGAAAAACCAAAATTTTGAATAATAATGATATTTTCACATATTAAGAACTGTAATATGGTATTTGTATTGTACTGTCAATATAAATTCAATTCTATTCAAGCATTTGCAGAATGTAGAAAACCTTCGCTAATAAAATAGCAGGTTTTAATAAAACGGGTATCTTTAACAGAATTTTAAATTAAGTAAATAGGAACAATTACAAAACGGTGAAAGATTGATGTGAACTACAATTTAGAAAAGGATAGTGCGAGAAGGATATTACGAAAAAATGGTTTCAAATTATAAGGTGAAAAAAGTACACATCTTGAGCTTGAGAGAGGAAGATACACCGAGAAAATTACGGTTTTGTAGTTGNTTTGACGTCAACTTTCGCCAGAAATCCCAATGAAACAATTTTTCATAACTTTTCAACCCCCCAAATCAACCCTCCGCCACCCCTGCTCACGCATTTATTTATTTTTTTCGTTTATTATAAACCCCTTTACCATCTCCACTTATAAATGTCCAGGTAATTTTCTTTTTTTTTTTCTCCCTCTAAATGAGTTAGTTTGATCGGTCTATATTGTTATAGTTTATACATAACTGTTGGTTTGGAAATTGTTAGGGTTAACTGTGATTTGAAAAACCAAAATTTTGAATAATAATGATATTTTCACATATTAAGAACTGTAATATGGTATTTGTATTGTACTGTCAATATAAATTCAATTCTATTCAAGCATTTGCAGAATGTAGAAAACCTTCGCTAATAAAATAGCAGGTTTTAATAAAACGGGTATCTTTAACAGAATTTTAAATTAAGTAAATAGGAACAATTACAAAACGGTGAAAGATTGATGTGAACTACAATTTAGAAAAGGATAGTGCGAGAAGGATATTACGAAAAAATGGTTTCAAATTATAAGGTGAAAAAAGTACACATCTTGAGCTTGAGAGAGGAAGATACACCGAGAAAATTACGGTTTTGTAGTTGGTGACAAGAAAGAAAGAGGGGAAAATCCTTTTATATGCAGAAGAATTCTCTGGTTAAATATGCCTAATTTTTGTAATAGATTTTTTAATAGGAACATTTACTTCAAATAGACTAATGGTAATTTACATTGGCATGAAGAAACTGCATTTCAACAGAGGTTTTCAGTAAACGTTTGGGTTAGAATTCTTGATACCAAAATTGTAGGACCTTACTTCTGTGATGGTAAACTGATGGCTGCCAGATATTGCAAATTCATAGCTTCAAAAAATGATTTCTCATAAAGTTGGCCATGGATTTCAAATTTGTTTTTACAAGCATCAAGGCCTCAAAAAATGCAACAAGACATATTTGACATGCATCGTGTATTAAGCGACATACATAGGAGTGGCCCTCTTATAGTAGACAGCCTGTATATTGATAAAATAAATATTCTGAATTTACTAATTTTAATGAAGTTACTGCTTAAGAACAGAACATAAATTAATATTAATAGAAATAATGATACACAAGGAGCTAGTAAAATTGCTTGAACTGAACAATAAAACAACAATAAAAAATATAGTATTTATTAAATAAAATTCAGTAGCAACATGATGTGAAAATATAATTTTTAGTACTTTATGTATATTCTAATTAAGACTAGACCTACAAAAAATAAATATAATTTGTTATATTGAACAATTTACAAATATTTATAATGTGATAGGTACTAAATTTACTCTCATCAAAAATATTAAATGCCATTTTTAATTTTTTTTGCATGACTATCTTCTAAAATGGTGCTTGACTAATTCTTATACATCAACGTCGTTCTACTGACAAATATGAAGCTTTTGTTTCAGTAATAAATCCAATAAAAAACCTGCTTAACTGAAAATTCTATGAACATTTATAAACCTGAATACACTGACCTGTGTTTGAAAATTTGAGAATATAAATATATTTCAGATCATTGTCTGCAGACTATATTATTTGCTTGAATGTCACATAAAAATAATATAACATATATATGACTCACATCTAGAGTTACCAGATCTATTTCATGACAGGCCCAGAGACATAATTCTATAATCGATGTCTAAAAAAAAGTTCTGCAACTGCAATCAAGAAATCTGAGAAAAATTGTTTTCCAAGAAATATCTACTTTGTGACCTGGAGATACGGATCCAGAAATGAATTTCAGGGGGGGGGAGGGCGTTGTATAATTGATGACTAAAAATAAAAAAAAAGATGGTATCAACAAATGTTTTTGAAAAAATCACAATTTGTTTGTAACAAAGAAAACCCAGAGAAATGACATGTTAACCCGGAGCCCGAAGATGTACCATCAAAACCTGAAGACTCCGGGTCAAACCCGGAGATCTGGCAACCCTACTCACATCACATAAATATTCTCAAAAGTTTCTGTATATAAAAATATATTACCATCATATTACTAAGTAAACAGGAAATATAAGTTAAACTGCTTTTCCAGTTTATATATTATTCTTAAAACCACACATTATTTATAGAAAAACATTAGGAAAATTATGATTTTAAAATACCTCATTATTAACATGAAAAATGTAAAAACTGGTCACATGCGTTTTCAACGAAATATAAAAAGGCATGCGATGGCAAAACAACCGTTTAGCATTTATCATCAAATAAAGGGTATAAAATAATAAAGATGGAAAACAATGTCACAAAATAAAATTGTTTCTTGTGAAACACAACAATTTCATTACAAATTCAAACAATAAGTCAGGGTAGAAAATCAGTTATACATAAATTTTTTAAGTAGAATATTTTGTAACTGAGTTTGAATAGAATTAAATAATAATTAAATTTTCTCACATTTTCTCAATACCTACATGATGTTGATAATGTTTACTATACAAAACTTGATTCCCTAAGTTCTGAGAAGGTACTTTTATTTTATTACTACTCTCCATATTAAGTAATTATATAAACTGACAAGTATTCAGAACAACTTTAATGTTTACTGCAACACAATTACTTTTCTCAATTGTACTGCTCTACGATTTGCTCTTCAAACCTTTATACTACACATTACATGTGCCATTTATTTCTTCATTTAAGTAGTTCAAATTCCACATGAAATTTGTCTGAAAGCAACATAAAGAATTGTTTTCTTAGATAGATTAAACTTTTTTATATTATAATTTAGGTATATACCTGGATCATTTACGCATAAGCTGAATTAAAATGCTGCATTTGATATTTTTCTGAGCGTAATAATACTGAACGGATATTAATCAAACTATTTTGATATGATTCATGTAAGAAGCCAAATTTCACAATTTTCTGACAGCTCTAAAAATAACTGAAAACCTGTATCAAGATATATGATGATGGAATTTTTCAGGATGCTCAGCAATGTAAAACACATAAATCAAGGGTATAGCAAAAACTACTATCACGATGCAGACGATAAGGGCTATCCATGAAATGTCTCCGTCCACACCACTGCAGTTTAATCTTGAAACAACCTGTGTCAACGATAGTAAAATTATTCTTTAGTTGATTGTGTTAAATTGAAGAGAAAAAAAAAACAAGTAGACTATAAAGGAGAAATAAAAAGAAGCACTTACCGCATCTGCTTCAGGTAATGACCTATTTTGTACAGGCAATAAGTGAACCTCTTCGCAGTTTTCTTCATCGAGCTCTTCAATCAATCTATCACAGGGTTTTTGAGTAATATGGCTATTAAAAATTATTTCATTGACCTCATTTTTTGATCCATTTGGGACGTTTAACAGATTTTCACTTAACCTAGTATTTAAGGATTCAATATCTATAAGTTTACTTGTAGATGGTTCGTTGGATGTAATTGGAGAAGTTGTGCCACTTATGTGTACTCCCGCTAGAGCCATGGTAAATGGACGGAGTGGTACTTTAACTGTTCTTTTCGCAAATATTTCGTTTTCCCTATGGATGTTGTTAAGTCTTTTCAAGTCAGCTATCTGCAGAGAAAACTTATTATTAGAACAAAGTAAACAATTTTAAAAGGGTAAACAGTTTACTACATTGTTTACCTTGCATAAAACATTTAAAAAGTATAATCTCAGAAAACTTTGGATATAAAGTTCACCGAGTAAGCAAAAAATTTGTAATAGAAGTTGTTCGTTAAGGTAACTTCTCTCAAGATCAATAAAAAATTCATTTAAACAGTAAAATCACGCGTTAAAAAATGTGAAACAAATTACATTTTATATAAGAACAATTTTTAATGAATATAAAAAAATAGACATCACAGAAATAAGAAAAAGAAAATGTATCTCTTACGGTACAGTGGTATCGAATTGCCAACGATTGTAATGTGTCCCCATCTTCGACTTCTTTCTCCATTGAGGGTATTTCTCTTTTTTGTGGCTTGTTTCTAACAAACAGCTCCGTTTCATCGCCACTATCACTACCACTTCCTTTTTCTTTATCAAGTCTTCTATAAGTTATATCGACAAATTTATTTCTAAAAATAGATACAACATATTTTCATATAGCACAACTTATAGTTAAGTACATACTTTTGTCTTTGTTTCATCATGTTAATAATATTCGTATATAATTTATATATGTTCAAATAGGGTCTGACAGCTGGACACTATTATATATTTTTTTAATTTGATTGTAAGGTTATGTTTCAAATGTTAAACGTCAAATGCAATGTGTTGTTCGAATTCCAGACAATTTTTCACGATTAAGGGTTAGGTATATTTATATGGTTACAAATATGTTGGTTATTACTACGGTGACTCTATACAGGGTGTCTCATAATTAGCTGCCAACCCTGAACAGGCCGATTTTATGATCAAAACTAAGTAAAAAAGTTCATATGAACATGGGTCCGGAAATGCTTCCTAAGGGCACAGGGACCCATTGAAGAGGGAGGAATGGAAATAATTTTTTTGCAATATCTCTTAATCGCGGTGTGATAAATGAATGAAATTTGGTATACACAGCTAAATTTTGATGCTAAATTTGATGGACTAATCCATTTATTTCCACAAGGTCCATTGGGGTGGGTGCGGGGGGGCCCTTGGTACTTTGCATGTGTAACTTTTTTATCTTTGACTTTTTAACAAATTGGACAGCAAATTCCGTTTTCCCGGACTGTTTTACGTTAAAAAGGTACTCTTGTTTCAAATCGTTATCTTTAACGGTTTCTGAGTGAATCGCTCTTGAATTAATCCCACTTTGGTCAATTTCATAGTAATTTAAACAAAAAATAATAATAATAATTTAATACGTAATCAGTAATACACATTATTGATGTAGAACAATTATGATATGATGATTTGTTTATGGCTTTTGCGATGGTAATGCTGCGCGGCAGAACGCGAGTACGGCGGTTTCCAAACAGAAGGCTGACATCAAGGAGACATTCCTCACTGTATTTCGCAATTTAGCTGCAACCGTCACTTTTCTGGTATAAAGCCATGTACACGTCGATAGTGATAGGCATGTAGACCTTGTCGCTTTAATATTCTTCCAACCTGAAATGTTAGTAGCACATCTAATCAATTCTGTTAAGGAAATCTTTAAGATATGTAGTACCGTTGGCTGAGCAACATTTATTTGCCTTGAAATGTTCCGTATGCTAGTCGTAGGATCTTGTTCAATAGCGTCAAGAACCTCCGCTTCCCTATTAATCCTGGGACGTCCTTGACCCGGTGCCTTTCGAAAAGTGGCGGTTGCAGCTAAGTTGCGGAATACCGTAGGGAATGTCCTCCTTGATGTCAGCCTTCTGTTTGGAAACCTTCTGCCGTACTCGCGTTCTGCCGCGCAGCATTACCATCGCAAAAGCCATAAACAAATCATCATATCATAACTGTTCTACATCAATAATGTGTATTACTGATTACGTATTAAATTATTATTATTTGTTTAAATTACTATGAAATTGACCAAAGTGGGATTAATTCAAGAGCGATTTTCTCAGAAACCGTTAAAGATAACGATTTGAAACAAGAGTACCTTTTTAACGTAGAACAGTTCGGGAAAACGGAATTTGCTGTCCAATTTGTTAAAAAGTCAAAGATGAAAAAGTTACACACGCAAAGTACCAAGGGCCCCCCGTACCCACCCCAATGGACCTTGTGGAAATAAATGGATTAGTCCATCAAATTGCTCATCAAAATTTAGCTGTGTATACCAAATTTCATTCATTTATCACAACGCGATTGAGAGATATTGCAAAAAAATGATTTCCATTCCTCCCTCTTCAATGGGTCCCTGTGCCCTTAGGAAGCATTTCCGGACCCATGTTCATATGAACTTTTTTACTTAGTTTTGATCATAGAATCGGCCTGTTCAGGGTTGGCAGCAAATTATGAGACACCCTGTATAGAACCTCTGTAGTTATTACAGCCTACAGGAAGAAGTTAACCATGTAATAATAGTAGTAGTAGTTATAATTCCACTATAAAAATAATTGAGCAATTTTAAGAAGCTTCTGGAATCTTTAGCTTTAGAGTATATCATCTACTTATTTTTAAAGCCCATAGACGGATTCGATTGATATGACATTATCTTCTTATAAACCTTATTCATATTCTTGCTATATGTAATATAATGTAAGGCCCATCAGCGTCCACTACAGACAAAGGACGGTATGTTAAGGCTTGAAAATAATTTTACTGTAAAAGACAACATAGTGATATATTCCTTAACTTTCTACGTGAAAAAAAAACTTACTACCTATCCAAAAGCAAAACCAATCATTGTAAAATGAATTATTTTGTTACAAGTTATAGTGTTTATAAAGTAATATAAAGACAAATCACTGTAAGCTCTTGTATTTTGTCATAAAATTCGCCAAGCTAGACTGACAAATTATCAACCGCAATAAAAACTTTTACCTGGGTAAAAATTGTACTACAGCTACCGTAATAAGATAATGGGAATTTTATATTTCAACAAGAGGGAACTGATCATTGCCATACGGTAAAATCTATCAAAAAATGGCATAATAGTATAGCAACGCACTACTTCAGAATTGGCGTAGGTATTGCGGACAAAACTGCAACAGATTTAAAATAAATTTGTTACGTTGCCACAGATAAAAATTTCGTAGGCGCCCCTAATATATTATTTATTGCACAATACTTTTAATTCAGTTGATCGACTTTCTGTCTGGGTTTATGATTTTCTTAATTTTTTTTTAATTTGATAGTAATTTATGTAAATATCATATTTATATCAAGATGTTTTGTTGAAGTTTAAATTAAACAGCGAAAAAACAATGTTTCAGTTTATTGACATTTTCAAACTTTTACAATAGCTTTTCCAACGTTCCCCCCTGTGAACAGCTCAATAAACGCTTTTAACATATTTTCAAATCCTTCAGTAACTGTTTCATGGTATTTCAATTTCCCTTCTTTAATCCACTTCAAATTTTGTTGAATACCTTCATTCCACCTGTTGGCCCATCTACTGACAATAAACCCTTCCATTGTGAGATTGAGAGAAATCATTGGCCTTTGAATTGTAGTTGCTGGAAATAATAATAATTTTTTTAAGTACAATATTGAATCGTTACAGTCATTTAAATTAAATAGATAATCTCTTAATTGGGAATGGAGTCAAGAGTTAAAAAATCTTGTTCATACCTTTTTCTGACTTATTGTTGTAACCCGAAATTGATCCACATACAGATATCCTTCCAAAGTTATTCATGTGGCGTAAAATGATACTACTAATTTCACCACCAACCTATAAGTGAGAAAGATAGTTAATTAGTCAGTTCCGTAAATATATCAGTTAAATATATTCAAAACTTAATATGTGTAGATACTCAAGTGTGAATGACATTTCCTTTTTAAAATTTAAGATATGTTTGCGTACATTATCAAAATAGCAATCGATCTTCTCTGGCGCTAATTCATCCAAGGCTTTGTCCAAATCAGCAGTTTTATAATTGATAAAATGATCAAATCCCAGTTCTTCCACTAGCCATTTCCCTTTCTCATCCGAACCTGTGACACCGATAACTTTGCATCCTTTAATTTTCGCTATCTGACCGACATGACTGCCTACTGCTCCAGCAGCGCCTGTTACAACTACAGTTTCACCAGCTTGGGGAGTGCATATTTCAAGAAATCCAAAATAGGCAGTATTTCTGCAATCAGTACAATGACATATGAAATGGCTTAAACTACGTTACCATACGGGGTGTTTCAGCATAAAATATTGCACCGAATTTCCTTTATTGAGGACAATATATAACCACAGTTTATAAACTTTGACAACTTTGATGTTTTATAACAACAAATTTACACATTATCTCCAAAAATTCCCTGTATATCTTTCCTTGTTTCACAAAATTTCCATAGATTCCTATGAACAATATAGAAAATTATCTAAACATCTAGGGACATGAAAGAAAGAAAGAAATAGAAATATTCCAAAAGCAACATGAAATAAATAAGTAAATAAATGTAAACAAAGTACACTAAGATGATTTCTGCTAGTTAATTTTCCGTCGACGTCATTATAGAATACAGAATGAATCACAAGATCATTAAGTAAAATAATATGTCTATATCAAAAGACGCACTATCAAAGACAATCCAAGGTCTTAAGGTTGGCAGAAAAACTAAATACACCTCAGTCAAAATACATATTTTTATTGTCTATTCTGTTTGTCAACAGTCTGGTGAGGCAGATTCTTTTATAAGGTCGCACCTTTTTTAGCATCTATACATAAATAACTATATTTTTTTAATCTGATTTTACCAATATTATTTTCCAATTCCTAGTCCGTTTTTCTTAAATATATTTTATTTCTAAAATTGCATTCTTGTAAAAATTCATTAAACCGGTTCATTTCGAGAAAAGGCAAACATTGCAGATGGCCTTTCGCTTACCCCTCCTCCTCCTGGTTTCGCTACTGATTATATTTATTATATGAGTTGTACCTTTCAATAATATAAGAAATGGAATATTTACCCTGGCATTCCCAGAACTCCAAGAGCTAAGGACAAAGGCAAATTGCCAATATTGGGAACCAAAGTTGGTTTATATCCAAATGCGTCTACCGTTGCTTTTGAAATCGAATGCGTTCTCCAACCAAAATTACCCACCACATATTGTCCAGCAGGGTATCCTGGATTTTTACTCTCTAGTATTCTAAACACAACAATTCCAAGAAGTTTACGTTATATTTTCACTGGTCATTGACAATACGTTTCACCTTTTCATGCGTCAGTTGACATTATTAACACTTTTATTAGCGTAATTCATTAAACTTACTTTCCAACTTGAGATCCTACATTTGTTTCTCCTATCTTATGACATGCAGTGTAAGCCCTCATATATGGATCCACACTCAGGTAGATGGCTTCGACAAGAAATTCTGTAAAATAGTTATATAAGGTGTTAAGGAAATAAGTACTCAAAATTTGAGAGTGCGTAAAATATGTCGAAATATGATGAAAACCTTAGTAGAGTTTTTGTCAGTGGCGGCCCCTACGGCTCTTTGAAGGGGTAACTGAGGAAACAGTTTTTATTGCATAACTTCAAAACTGTTTAATATTAAATTAAGAAATTTTGGGGTATTACTATATTTGTATACTTAATAATCGGTATAATACACAAATCAAAATTTGCTACAGAGGAGTAAGAAAATACGGGACCATGG